GATTTATGTAAAAAAATTCATTTTAAAAAATTTGTCATTTTCCTCCCTTTTTGCAGAACTTAGCCCATATATACTTGGCAATGTACTGAACATGTGGTATTAGAGTTCGATCGTCAGACTATATAGTAAATTTAATATGAAAACAACAAATCAAAATCCTAATACTAAAACTGACCATTCAAGTGTAATTTTAAGATTAAACCTGGAAACTTGCTTAATAACTAAATTGTTTTCTATAAACTAGCTGTTTTGGCTTTATTCTTTATGACTATTTCTTAGGCTTCAAACAGAAAATAAAATTTAATATAATAAATATACCAATTTTGCTTACAATACAACGGCAATATTAATAAACTAAAATTTGGTTGACACAAAACATAAGGTTTATTAAACGATTTTGTCTGGCCATTTCGATATTTACATTCATTATAGTATAAAGTTAGTTATGTTAATAAATTCTAATCGTTTTGAGCAACTTAAGTAAATTGGTTCATAAGATTATTCGGATTTTTTAAAAGTAAATAAAAAACAGCACTAACTTCAAATGTACATTAAGATAATCTCTTGAATAATTATGATAATTTTATATAAATACTGTAATAAAAATATTTACGTATCAAATAATTCAAAAGATCCCATTGGCATACCAACCCCAACTTCATGGCAGTATCAATGTCTTTGAATGTGGCATCACCACAATCATAAAGACGAATTGCTTCCATTAAGTAAGGATCAAGAAGACGATTAACAATAAATCTTAAATTAAGATAAATAAAATGATTAAGATAAAACATACCGATTATTGGTTAGTTGAAAACAATACAGTAATAACAAACTTATTATAATCTTTGGCATGTTATGGCATTTTCTTCAAAACTTCCATCAAACCTCATCACTAGTCTTTTCAGTTTTAATAACTACCATTAACTTCATTCTTAGAACAGGATTGAAAAAATGCAACCAGCAAATTTATCCCCCATTTGCAATTTCTATAATTGGTAAACTTGAAGTATTTTATGTAAATATAGTAGATTGAGGTAGCAATATTGTCCAAATTTCTAAAATAAATCTTGTTATTGTTGAATATTCTCTACGATGGCTTCAAATATCAAATCTGCATATTTGCACCTTTAGAAATATCAGTACAGGTGACCCTCGTTAATATCAACCCAAGCCACGGGACAAATTTTTATATATCAAAATCCTCTCATACATATCAACTTTAATATGGTTTCTTATTAATATCACTATCAACATAATTTAAAACCAATGCAAATGGGTTGATCTTAACGATGATGACCTGTACTAGTTACTAATCACTTCCAAATCAAAATTTTATCAATACGTAATAAGGCCATACAAACTTAATAAATTGGTTCTCATAACATAAAATTTTTAAAAGTGACCCGGCAACCCGGCTTTTAATTTTATTTTCAAAAAAGGTTATGTATAAAAAAACAAAATTTTTTATAGATTTTTTTGAGTTTTGTAAATTTTGACCCGGGCGGTTATGAGAACTGATTTATTAAGTTTGCATGGCCTAACAAATATTCATTCGGTAGAAAACAACTGTAATACGAGACACCTCATATGATCTCGGGGTCGGAAAGTAATTTCGGAAGGATCGTCTTGGAATTTTTGCCAATTGCACTATCTCGTGTAATATTGAATGTTAGCGTTAGTGCAAAAATCAATTGTTTCACAAAATTGAAACGCGTCTTAATTCAACTCTATATCGTAAAATGTTTAGAGCACGGCAAGTCACAAATTATACTAGAGAAAAAAAAAAAACATTACAAAGCGTAGAAGAAACTAATATCCTTGATAAGCTTGGCTTCAAAAAATACGATAATGGTCCTCCGCGTTTGGGGTGGCTCATTAATATGAGCGGTGTTAGTAGGCTCTTTTTTTTTTTTTTTTATTATCGAATCTTAAGCAAACCTTTAATGTTTATAGTAAATTATTGTATTTAACGCCAAAAATCGTAGACTATTGTACCCAGCCAACAACATTCTTCCGGTAGGACAGCATTCGATCTTTTTTTTATAGAGCCTCAAACTGGAATAGATTCATACTTTAGATGTACTATATACTATTATCCATATTTTTATGTGCAATGTCAGGTGAGCAATGTATTTAAAAATTGTTTAGTTGTTAATATATTTATAATACCTAATTTCAATGGGTTAAATAGTCCGGAGCGGAACATACCGTTGGAGAGTATTTAGGAAGAAAATATGACCAATATATATACAAAGTATCATATGTAGTCAAGCAAGATTTAAAAAAAGTATTATTATCTCAAATTTTATTTCAGTTATCTTTGCGCATATGATTGAAATAAATTCTATTTGCCTAGGCAAATCATTTAATAAATGGGGAACAAATTTATATCAAACTCGAGTTTTGGAACGTCATAGAATTAGTGACAGTGCGGAATCAACTTTTTCGTATCGTAAACGAGAACCGTAAAAATTTAAATGTTGTAAATATATATGGAAATAATACAAGGTAAAATCGTTAATGCATTAATGTGATATTTAGTATTTTAACATTTATAACTTTGATATTATAGTGATTATGGCAATAAATATTCAGAAACCGGTCAGAAAGATAAAATATTGGACGATATTATTGATCTTCGTGAATATGATATACCTTATTATCAACGGGCTGCTATAGACCTTGGTAATGTTCATGATATTTTATTTCGTGTTTATTGTTTGGATTTATTTGCTTAAATAAAGCTTCCTATTTAAAAGGCTATAGAGTTGGTCAGTGGTATACTATCACGGCTTTTCCCCAAGATAATGGGGCGCAGATTAAAATGCATCATCGCGAAGATATAAAACAACGTGGAGATCCAGTTATTCTCGCATATGATATTGAAACCACAAAAAAACCTCTCAAATTTCCTGACTCCGAGAATGACCCCATAATGATGATTTCTTACATGATAAATGGCATGGTACTTTACTATTTAGTGACCTGGATTTTTATCGAATTTATATCTAGAAAATTATTATATGTTACATAATTGTTAGGGATTTCTTATCGTTAATCGTGATATCGTTTCTGAAGATATTGAAGAAATCGAATATTCACCATCCACTCAATACAAAGGATTTTTTAAAATATTTAATGAACCGAGTGAGGTAAGTTGAAATACACTTATGCATATATAAGTTGTTAAAGTTTTTTTATATTCATAATAAAACTTGAGTTGGTTAAAGGTTAAAGGACAAAATTATAAATCTTTAAGCTTATTCAGCTATGAATATAGACATTATATTTACACTGTTGTGTTTACTATAATTAGAGAGCGTTGATCGAGCGTTTTTTTAAACATATCCAAGAACAAAAACCAACCATAATTGTAACATATAATGGTGATTATTTTGATTGGCCTTATGTTGAAGACAGAGCTTCGAAATATGGTATCAATATGCATAAAGTAAATAAGGCTAAAAGGAAAAATTTAAATATTAGTTTGGTTTTTTCTTTTTCTTCTTTAATGATGTTATTTTATTTAATAGGAAATAGGCTTTAAAAAAAATATGAATGATGAGTATGTAAGCAAGCATTGTTTACATATGGATTGTTTACATTGGGTGAAAAGAGACAGCTATCTTCCTGTTGGTAGCCAAGGTTTAAAGAGTGTTACTCATGCTAAATTGGGTTATAATCCTGATGAACTAGATCCGGAAGTTATGACCAAGTAAATATGCTTAAAAGAAAAAAATATAACGTCCATTTAAATTATTTTTTAACAGTTTTTAATTATAGGTTTGCGTATGAGAAACCACACACTTTGGCACGATATTCTGTTTCTGATGCAGTAGCGACGTATTATCTATACATTGAATATATCCATCCGTTTATTTTTTCACTTTGTAATATTATCCCATTAAATCCGGATGATATATTGCGAAAAGGAACCGGAACTCTGTGTGAAGCATTATTAATGGTTCAAGTCCATTTCAAATTTTATAAATCATTTGTACAATGAAGTTTGAAATTAAACAAGGTATAATTAAATATAATGTTGTTATAGGTGGAAGCATACAGTGCCAACATCATCATGCCAAATAAACATGAAGAAAATGATGAAGTGTTTTTTAAAGACCATCTTCTCCAAGATGAAACGTATATTGGCGGCCATGTTGATGCGTTAGAAGCAGGTGTTTTTCGGTCGGATATACCAGTCAGTTTCGATATTGATCGTGCAGCTATCCAACAGGTTATTATAAGCGTTTGTAAATGAAAATGTAATTATAAAACAATATTGATATTATTTTTCGTTATATTAGCTAATCGATAATATAGATGTTGCTTTGAAGTTTGCAATTTGGGAAACATTCAAGGAAATGAAAAGAAATACTGAATCTGCTTTTAGTATGCAGGATCAAGTAATTCTAGTTTACACGAGTTTTTCTCCATAACGCATCAATATTTACACTATTAATTATTATATATGATATATATATTTATAGACTCGAAAACAGATTGTAGATGAGAAATTAGCAGATATCACGAATTATGATGAGGTAATAATAAATTTTTTTTTACTTTTCATACTTATTAAATCCAATTTAATAAAACAGTTGTATAAAAATACAAAGGTCCGATCGCAAATTGTATCCGCTCTCGAATATCTTAAACAAGGAGAGCAACCGCTCGAACAAACGCCTCTAATTTATCATTTAGATGTTGCTGCCATGTATCCAAATATAATTCTCACCAATCGACTTCAACCTGATTCTATTGTCACTGATGATGTGTGTCTTAGATGTGATTATAATGTTCCTGGAAAAAAATGTGATAGAAGAATGACATGGTCATGGCGGGGTGATTTTTATCCTGCAAAGACAAATGAATATAAAATGATCAAAAAACAACTAATGTCTGAAATATTTCCCGGAAAAAATCCGGGGGACAAAGGACGTTCTTATTACCTCTTAAGTCTAGAAGAACAAACAGCAATTTTGAAGAAACGTCTTGGTGATTATTGTCAGACTGTATATAAAAGAAAAAAAGAGACAGAGGTGGAACAACGAGAAGCCATAGTTTGTCAACGTGAAAACCCATTTTATGTTAATACAGTTTTGAGTTTTCGTGATCGGAGATATAAATACAAGAGTGACGTTAAAGAATGGAAAAAGAAGTTAGCGGAAGCAACAAAATGCGAAGACCTTGTAAAGATTGAAGAGGCTAAAAAAATGATAATTTTATATGACTCTTTACAGCTTGCTCACAAATGTCTCCTTAATTCTTTTTATGGTTATGTTATGCGTAAAGGCTCTCGATGGTATTCAATGGAAATGGCTGGGATAGTATGTGATACAGGTGCAAAAATTATTCAGACGGCTAGACAATTAATTGAAAAAATTGGAAGGCCTCTCGAACTTGATACAGATGGAATTTGGTGTATTCTTCCTTCAATGTTTCCAGAAAATGTTACATTTAAATTATCTTCTGGAAAACAGTTTTCCGTATCATATCCTTGCACAATGTTGAATTATTTGATTCATCAAGAATTCTCCAATGATCAATATCAAAGACTATCTAAGATAACAAATGAATATGAGATTGGAAAAGAGAACAGTATATTTTTTGAGGTTGATGGTCCATATAGAGCGATGATACTACCCTCTTCCTTAGAAGAGAATAAACTTTTGAAGAAACGTTATGCTGTGTTCGCACATGATGGCACATTACAAGAATTAAAAGGATTTGAAGTGAAACGGCGTGGTGAGCTCAAACTTTTGAAAAATTTTCAAGAAGTTATATTTCAAGTTTTTCTCCGAGGGAAAACTTTAAATGATTGTTATGCTGAAGTTGGAAAAGTTGCAAACGCTTTTTTGGATGTGCTTGAACAAAAGGGTGCCACTCTTTCTGATGAAGAGTTGATAGATAGTATTAGCGAAAAGCGAGGGATGTCACGTGCCCTGGAAGATTATGGTGAACAAAAATCTACATCTATTACTGCCGCTAAACGTTTAGCAGAATTCCTGGGTACGGATATGGTCAAAGGCAATAAATTGACATGCCATTTTATTATATCAGCCAAACCTTTAGGAGAAGCAATAAGCGAACGAGTGATTCCAATAGCGATATTTTCAACTGAGGAAAGTGTAAAGAGACATTATTTACGGAAATGGCTTAAGGATCCTAAAATGGATAATTTTGACATTCGTAATATCTTAGATTGGACTTATTATTATGAACGCCTCGGATCTGCTATTCAAAAGCTTATTACGATTCCCGCAACAGCGCAGAACGTTGAAAATCCTATTCCGCGGTTAAAGCACCCTGATTGGCTTCGCAAAAAATTGGCAATGAACGGCGATAAAAATCGGCAAAGGCGCATCACTGATATGTTTCAACGAACAAGAACAGATGATAGTATGGTTGTGGATGACATTAATTACGAAAATGATGAATTACAAGACACTGATAATATTGATACTGTATCCTCACGTAATGGTCCGTCAAATGATATTGATGATATCGAAGATTATGGAATATCTAATTCAAATGTGTCAAATGTGTCTATACCAAACTACAAAAAGAGACCGATTGAGAAATCGTATTCCGACGAGCCAAATCAAGAGGAAGAAATGATGGTACTTGACGAGTCGCAACATGATGATGGCAATGACAATACAGAGATAGCTGATAATTCATCTTCAAAACGTCAAAAAGTTGATGAAGACAAGAGTCAAGAAACTGTTGTAAGTACAAAAAAGAAGAAAGACAAAAATTCGGCTAAAAAGTCTACTCTTGAAAACTTTTGTGGTCAAAAAAATCGTTGGGAGATTCTACAAATAATTAATACAGACACTCCAGGTGAATTCCGTATGTGGGTTCTAATAGGTTGTGCGACGCATGCAATTCGTCTCACTATCCCCAAAAAGTTTTACATTAATTATAAACTACAAAATTTTCCGGATGAAGTAGAGAAAATTGTTGATGGTAAAGCAAGTATTTCTAAAGTAAGTCGAACGTTGCCAGGGACACATGAACGATATAATTTATTTGAAGTGATAATGCCAGAGCCTATCTATCAGCAGAATCAAAAATTACTACTAAATGTCTTTAACGATCCTCTTGTTGAAGGTGTTTATGAGACTCGAATCACATCATTGGATCGAGCGTTAATAGAAATTGGATGTATTATCAGCAAAGACAGCGTAAAATCTGGCATTTTTAAAACAGCGCCTCGAAAGGGCATGGATTTACAGGATATTATAAGAACGGAGGTCTTTCATAAAACACCATACTTAGAAGAGTATTCGGTTAATTATTTATATTTATGCCATATCATGTCGGGTGACCGTCATCTTTATGGATTATTTTCTACAGCACGCAACAAAGCACATATTTTTTTGGTAGAAAAAAGCAAAGTCAAATCACATTTGCCACATTTACCTAATGCTTATGCCAATATCTTGGAAAGGATGATAAATGACCCTCGATATGATAGTGAGGTATTTCATTATCATAAAGAACTCGATTTTGAAGTGTCTACGCACATCAGAGATGATAAAAAAACATTTGCGAAAAAATTATCCAAAGAAATTAAGGAATATAAAGAAGGAAGACACGGGCCAACTATTTTGGTAGTTCAATCATCATATACATTTTGTAACCTAATCGAGGAAGGGGTTAAAGCCATTTTAGAGTTTCCTTCTATGTATATAAACTTAAATGAGAATGATAACTTGCCTTCATTGGATTGGCAACGATATGCTTTTTCACGCATGATAACGAAATATCTTATCGTTGGACAAATAATCACGCAACGACTTAAAAAGGCAAGATACGCAAGGATACCTTTCTGTAACCTTAATCATGACAGTTCCATTTTCATTTCGGATGTGTTATTTGCTAGGAGATTAATTAAAAATGACATCGTTCTTTGGTGGTCACCTTATCGCAAACCAGATCATGGAGGACGTGAACAAGATGAATTTTTTGAATATTTGCATCTCTCAGATGAAGTTGAAAATTGCAGATTTGTCAACACACCGGGAATACACAAGAATATATGTTTCGAAATTCAACTAGATGATTTGATTGTGAACACTATTATAGAATCATCATGGATCAATCAAAGTGAAGGGACAATACAACTTTTCGGGGACGAGATGCCTTTGGCTACATTTTCAGTACTTAAATCATTGGTTAAAGATTGGTATACCGAGGCGTCCAATCCAATGAACGGAATCGCAAGTATCCTTATTCGTAATTTACAAATTTGGCTTAGTACAGTTAATTCAAATTTCTATGATCACAATATTTATGGAGTTATACATACTTTGATGGGCAAAGTGGTAGGTATCATGATACACTTAATTAACATATTTGTTTGGTGATTATAATATTCAATAACAATTCTTTTAGGTAATGCAACTTATTGCCGAATTTAGAAACTCTGGTGTTGAAATCGTTTATAGTAACCTTTACAAGGTAATAATAGCAACGAATAAGAATGAATTAAGTGTTGCTAATCAATATCGAGATTTTATCTTGAGATATATCAAACAAAAACCAATATTTCAAACATTGAAGATTATTTGTAAAAGAACTTGGATCAATATGATTTGGTTAGATCCAAATAATTTTTGTGGTACATTATGTCACGCTGAAGACCAGCTTGAGAATCATTGGAAGATTAAGGAATGCCTTCCGCAGACCTTACATGAAATTTTTGATGACTTGGTTAAAGAATTTATTGAAATTTGCAGAGTAAGCATGATGGGATCAATTAATTTTAAGGCGATACGGCAGCAATTGGAAAAAAAGATTTATGACAAAGTAGAAGAGGCACAAGAAGACTGCAATGGAGGCTTAATATTCACAAATGTGATTTGTGCAATTTTTCAAAGTTCATTAGGCGAAACCGAAACACGGATACTTAAGCAGAACTGTTGTAGATTATTAAAAGTGAGTTCATATTCTGAGGAGGCTAGATTCAAGTTGAATGATCAAAGAAAAGTCGGTAAAATCGAATGTAGCTGTGGTCTTGTACAGCCTGTAGACGTTACGTTACCAAAATGTGTCAATTGTGATGAAGAATTTCGATCAGAACAATTAGAATGTAGTTTATTAGAAGCTATAAATAATCAAGTTGAAAGCTACCAAGATCAAGACCTTTATTGTTCCAAATGTAATCTGCCTCAACAGAAAGATTTTTGTCAAGAATGTGATTGTGGTGGAAAATATAAACAAACCGTTAATAGAGAGGAGCTTATAAGTGTTATCGTTAGCATTGAAAAATTTGCGAGAGAAAACGAAATGAAACTCTTATTAGAAACTTGTGAATGGTTGTTGGATAAATGAAAGTTCTTTACAGAATCTTTTAATGTTACGAAATGTTACTATATTACATACATAATAAAAATGGCTTTAATATTATAATTTAAGGCATACATATTGTCAAAATTTTTTAATAACTTTATTTTTGATGTTATATTCTACGTACGTATACGTAAAATAAAATTATTATCCTTTTGGTAATAATTTTATTGTAACTATGCACAGGTCGAATTAGTAAATATCGGGCAAATATCAACATAAGAACTCCGATATGTAGAGTTCTGCACACGTACTATTAAAACATAGTGCCCATGCCGTGTCTGGTACTATGCTTTAAAAGGGCACATGCCAACATTTGCAGAATCCTACTGATATGCCACTGTAGATCCACTAAATAGGGAATAGACTAAGGAAACCACTTACTTTCCTATTCTCCAAATATAACGGTAAAATATCGGGAGCCAGAAATATTAACGTATATCGATTAAATATCAGCATTCTCAAAAATTTACTTTTAATATAAGTGAATGTTGATATTTAATTGATAATACGTACATCAATATTACCTGACTTACGATATTTTACCATTATATTGCGTTATACTGCAGATTTACTACTAATATCTTGCGAATCTATAGTTAGCATATCGGGTATATATTGAGAGTTGTGTATTCTGATATTTACCCGATACATATTAACTCGACCTATAATATTTTATAAAAACTTTCAAGTCTCTGTAAAGTTAAAGAGAAATAATTTTGAATAGATGAATAAAAGTTGAAAAGAAAATAATTTAGAGAAACCATGTATATTTGTGGTGACTGCAGTTGATGCCCAAAAATTGCGTTGCATGACCAATTTCAGGGGACAATTTCATCAAGTGCAACTTTTAGTCGGGCGACAACTTAGTCACGACATAATCATCATTACTTGTACAGCTAATAAAACAAAGACTTCAATTCAAAAATATGCACATTGTGTTAATTTTAATTATACGTATAAATTGATGATTGTCGACTTAAATAGGAATATGTTACTCGCAGCGGATAATAAGCACAAATTTACGTATACATATTGCTGAATGGATGGCCAATCCTATTATCGTCGATTAATAATATAAGATCATTTGACCATAAATTTTCCCACGATGTTTACCCAATTATGTCATAAAAATTTTAATATTTTCTAAATATTGACGTTATTGACGTTATAATTTGTCGTAGATCACACCGCAGCTAAAAATATATATAAAAATCGTTTCAAATTCAATAGATCATTCGAATACTTTTAATTAAAACAACCTAAATTCAAATAGATCATTTAAATACTTTTTTTAATTACCATGACTACTTATACTGATAAAGGACCTAAACTTGATTCCGCAAACTATTTGGGCTTTGGTAATTTCTAAAAAGTTGATTTTCCTTTTAGTTAGTTATTCAATGTAATTCTAATTCTTTTTTAATTTTATCATAATTTTATTAGATCATGTAAAGTTTTGGGTAGGAAACGCTAAGCAAGGTATTATTTCTATTTTCATTTAATTAATCTATTTAATTTTTAATCTAAATTTTTCATTTATTTGTTATAAGCTGCCTCTTATTATTGTACCCGCCTGGGTTTTAAACACATTGGTTATCAAGGCTTGGAAACAGGAAGTCGGGATATCGTTTCTCACGCAGTTCGTCAAGGATCAATCACCTTTGTATTCCAATCACCCCTTAATCCGAACGATAAATTGATGAGTGATCATCAAAGTACTCATGGTGATGGCGTTAAAGACGTTGCATTTACTGTTGATGACGCTCGTAGTCTGTGGAATAATGCAATACAAAGAGGTGGAAAATCGATTAAAGAACCATGGGAGGAAAAAGATGAAAATGGAGTTGTCGTAATGGCTACAGTTGGCACTTATGGTGATACCGTCCATACTTTTGTTGAAAGGACAAATTACCATGGTGCTTTTCTACCAAATTTTAAATCGACAACTTTCGAGGATCCATTAGAAGTAACGTTGAAACCTACACATTTACTATACTTGGATCATGTTGTCGGTAATCAACCGGATTTAGAGATGGAGCAAATTTGTGAAATGTGAGCATTTTAATTTTATACTTTTATAGTTATTTATTATTGTTAAAGTTTCTTTTGATTTATAATCGTTTTTTTTTTCATATAATAGGTATGAAAAAATTTTCAATTTTCATCGCTTCTGGTCAGTTGATGATAAACAAATCCATACCGAATATTCTTCTTTGCGCTCAGTAGTAATGGCTGATTATGATGAAAGAATTAAAATGCCAATAAACGAACCTGCAATAGGCCGTAAAAAGTCACAAATTCAAGAATTTGTTGAATATTATGGTATGTACTTTATTTACTAGATTAAAATTCTTAAATTTGATATTAATTTACTTATTTTTGTAATCAGGCAGTGCAGGTGTTCAACATATGGCATTAAGAACAAACGAGTAAGTTTGTTATTCCCTTGTGTAGTGTTCCACAGACTCGAACTGAAGCCGGGGTTCGAACCTGGACCGACTAGTTTGGTTCAATTTTGTATTGCTTTCGGTTCCCGTTCCGGATCTTTCGGGTAGATCTTTGGGTTTTTCAGTTCGGGTCTATATTGGGATTTTTCGGTTCAGCAAAACCAAAGACATTAAACCACTTAACGTTACTTCTGTTAATGTTTTTTTTAGTATAATTACTAGTGTAACGAATCTCAGATCACGTGGCTTGGAGTTTCTTACAATTCCTGCTACTTACTATGATGACCTTCGTTCACGCCTTTCTACATCTAATGTTAAAATACTTGAAGATATTGACCTTTTACAAAAATTACATATATTGATCGACTATGATGAAGAAGGCTATCTTCTTCAGGTATCATATATTTTCAATAATGAAATGGTGAAAAATGCTATTAACTAACTGGGATAATAATCCACTCAACTTTAACAGATATTTACTAAGCCATTGCAAGATCGTCCCACTTTGTTCATTGAAATCATTCAACGTCATAATCATCAAGGTTTTGGAGCTGGAAATTTCAAGGTATTTATTCTATAATAAATTATTACTTTACAGCTTTATTTCATAACTGATTTTTTGTCGATATAGGCACTATTTGAGGCCATTGAACGTGATCAAGATGCTCGTGGAAATTTGTTCTAAGCTGCTTTCCCATAATTGCATTCTGATGTAAATAATCTGGTTCCTGATGACAACGCTTCTTTATTAATAATGTTGTCTATTGAATCGGCGAAGTTATCGCGAAACTACCTTTTGAATCCACTCACAAATATTTAAACAATCCCTCACTCCTTAGTCACTAATGCACCATAAACTTTTTAAGTCCTAGGCCCCATACGTATAATATGTGTACAATACAATTATTTAAAGAACTTTCCCATTTATGTTTGACAAAATATGCATATTATAATTAAGTTTAGGATATTTAAATAGTTTTTAATAGCGAAGTAAAAAAAGTGGACTGTAACGACTGTAATTTGGAGATGCGAAAAAATCGACTAATAAATGTCAAGTTTTTTTATTCGTGTGATGTAAACACAACTTTAAGAAAGCATTTAAAAGCCAGTTCTTTATGTCATGTCTATAAGCCAAAAAAGTAATTACTGAAATGGAGTACAACTTCTATTTGTAAATAATACTACAGTATATTGCACTTAACATGAATATTTGTATAATCATTTAGTCAATCGGTGCTAAAATTGTATGACAGTTTTAACGACGTCCGTTTTTATTACAAAACGAGCCAACCAACCTTTTTCATCTATTCGAACATTACTACCCTTTAGCCGCGAAATAAATAATAACTATTCCGCTATTTCAGAAATTATATTCCTTAAATAACTTCTTGAAATAACGTGCACTTGTATAACATGTATTATGAAATTGATACATGCATACCTAGTTCAAAACTTTAACCCTTTATTTCGAAATAATACATGCAATATTGATAATCTGAAATAATGTACGAAAACCATGCTCAGGAATACGTTATTTCGTGATACGGTAGCTTTATAAATAGAAACTACTGTAAATGGTTGTTTAATTAATGCTTTTGATTCAATGTAAAGTATATATAAATGGTTCTAAATTAAATAATTGAATATTAAACACTAAACAAATACTAAACCCAGTATTCATATTTTTAATATAGTCAGCATATTCCAAACAATTAATCAATGCATAATATTTTTGATTAGTTTCATATTTAATATAGATGATTTTAATGATAATTTAGGCCAAAATTCCCCTGCATGTTATTACACGATAATACGGTATTAATATGATTCTACAAAATAATTTTTTTTTTTATTATCATACTTTTTTATAATCACCAGTCTTGTATAAAATATCTATAATTAAAAAATTATCTATCACAGAAAATCTTTTTACAAATTACAATGATGATTAGGTTAAAAAGTTTTTACAAAACGATATCAATTTCTAAAATAAAGTATACGGTTATGAAATAGTTTTTTTTTAAAAAAAAAAATTAGAATGCTGAAAAAAAGGGAGAAAAAACCTTCAAATCATCGATAATATCGATTTCATTAAGTCCTTTTGGTCCAACTCTACCATATCTCAAATCACTCTTGTCCTCATTTATTTTTTTGATTTTAGAAAAATTATTATTAGACCATTATCCCCATAAACATTCATTGAGGATAACAGAATATCCTGAAACAATTCATTACATTCCATCTCCATAACATTAATCTCATCTGTCATTTCAATTGCTTGATTTAAGGTCAACTGATCATTCGACTAATTAATAAAAATATCCTAAGTTAAAAAAAAAAATCAATTATGAATTTCATTTCATTGGTTGTCATATCTCATTTGGTGTTTCATCTAATGTATCCTTGTCTTGAAAAGTACAAACTTTTCAAAAGTCAAGTTTTTTTACATTCTTCTATCGTATTTTGATGAACTGATTACCTCGTTGCACTTCTCTCAGTCTGATACTCTTTATATAATGTTTAATATGTTTATTGTTTCTAATAAGGTTATTAATATTATTAATATTTTTCTTATTACGCGTCCTACAAAAAATAAGTAATATATTCACTTATAAGAATTAGGAAACAAATTCGTTAATTGTTTAAGAGTTATATTACTTTCAAGTTCACTGTTAAGGAGATAGGAGAGTAAAACTGATTTTTCGGTTGCCATTTATTTTTAAACTGTAATTTTAGTAGCAGAAAAATTAGGCAATTACGTGCCCGACGATCATTTCCGAGATCTACATACTTCGTAGTTTAGATAATACGAAAGTTCTTATAGATAATATAATACAGTAATAATATTAGAAGTAAGTTCGTCATTAGTTAACTGTTGATACAGTAATAAATAAACAGAATAATGTTATGTTACTCACTTCACAGAAACATTTAATACGTATATTCTGAATTTTAAATTCATTTTGGCCTTGATTTATTCTTTTAAACCTTACTATTTGATTGGCTAAATAACATGTGACAATACATGAACATCTAATTGGTG